GCCGTCTCCATGACATTAGGAGGCGCCTAGAACAACTCGGATACTTTTGACCAAAGAACATATAATTCAATTTATATTTTGGACTTACACTGATCACTTGATGGGCCTCAATCCAAGATGAGCAAAAAGTCAAAATTTTAAAGGGCCGTTTCACACATAATGCTTTGGTATCGAAGATTAAAGGCTTTTTCTTTGCATGATATTGGATGCTTGTTCGCGGCGGAGATCTCACATGAGCAATCAATGTGTGAGCATTGCGGACAAAGGGTTGGTGAACTATCCAATCGACGAGCATCTCGTACGCTTCGTCATAGTACGAGACGTGAATTGTCGAAGCTGCAGACTGTTAGCTCTATCCCACCCCAATGGGAGAAATACGAACTGAAGTAGCTTCACACTAATCCCCAACATAGCAAGCTGCATAGAGAGTGGAGAGGACAAGTATTTCTAAAGCACAAAGGAGTCGAGTATAGCTGTCCGGGTTACCGGCAGGCAGCTGCTGTGCGGAGGCAGAGACCATACTGAAACCGGGAAAGTGGACATCTATAAGAGACAGCTGGGAAGGGCTGTGATATGAACCACCTCCGATGGTGGCGTTCATGGCGCATAAGCCGAAAGGTAGCTAATATATGATGTGGTAGAAGTCGAGAACCACGAGATATGATGACTTGAGCGATGTGTTTGGGGCAGGGTAGAAACATGATCATGATCACCTGGGGTCATCATGCTTCTTATATGTCAGAGAAATCGCTACAACGGAGCTGACGCCTCTTTCATAGACCTTGCATGTGTAACCTCCGTTGCTCGAAGAATTCTATGCAGTATGCAGTTTGCAGGCAACAGGGTCTCGAACCCCTACTGTCTTGAAGATGCATCCTAGATATGGTTCTTAGAATGCAAAGTTACTGTATCCATTAACCTATAGGATCTAGCTAAGCCTCAAAAGGGTATGCATCATGCTTTCTTGTTGACAAGTCACTATGTTTGGGATAGCCAGCGATATCAGGTCCAAGTTGAGGCGATATCGTAGATGCTGAGTTTGACGTTTTTAGTGACTCCTCCTTTGGATATCAGGTGGGTGTGAATCGCGTCGCTGCTCGGGAAAATTTGAGCTGTGAGAGTAGTCTCCCCATGACCCCCGAAAACCTCAACGCTAGACCGGTCGACGAAGATGGTCAGATTTACTTTGCCATTGATAGCCGATGCAAGGGGTCCGCGGTATATGCTTGCGAAAGTGTTGTCGAATGACACATCTCCAGACTTGGTGCGGTCAATGAAGACTTGCTTGTTGACGAAGTCATAACCGACAAGGGTCTGCTCGGTGGAGTCGGCGGAGGTCCGAACAGCGATAGCAAACTCCGAAGCCGTCGAATTAGCAGAGAAGCTCAAGTCGATCTTGCTCGTCTCTTTATTGCTACCCACATAAACGGAACCTTGGCGAATAGAATTGTAGGTGTGTGAATAGGCCGGCTGCTTGCTGACGATAGAAGACCATGCTTCCTGGGGCCGCTGAATGAGAGTCGTCTTATCCCCGATGGTCTTAAGAGATAGATGTCGAGGAATAGACGTGGCGGAGCGCCATGGGCTGGTGGGAATTTTCGGGCCATATTGCCAGTTGTTCATCCAGGCGATGTGGGTGTAGGTGTTAGGGGAGAGGCCATTAAAGCCAGCTGAGGCATAGAAGTCTGGGCCCCAGTCCATCCAGTTGGCGGTCGCGCTTCCGGGATACACAGAATTGGTATCGGGAGTGAAGGTGGTACCATTGAAGTCACCCACGAAGTACTGGGTTCCAGAACCGACCGTGCCGGGGGGCCCACCGGGGTTGAGCCCGCTCACGATGACCCATTTCGTGGACTTCCCTCCATCAAGGGGCAACTTGAAAAGTCCGGGACACTCCCAAATTCCGCCTTGGGCGTTGTAAGGACCGAACTCACTCGCCAGCGTCCAGTCCTTTAGGTTGTCGGATGTGTAAATGACGTGCTTGTACAATGTACTTAGAGAAATGACGACGACCCACTTGTGAGACTCCTCGTGCCAGAAAACAAAGGGATCACGGAAGTTTTGGTACTGGTCTTCGTATGGGGCTGGAGGGTTGTAGATGACCGGGTTGGCGGCATCGTACGTGGTCCAGGTTAGACCATCGTCAACACTGTAGGCGATAGACTGGGATTGCTGGTTCTTCCGGATGGTCTTTCCACTCGGCAGGGTCTGTGCAACAGGATACTGTGGAAAGGGAGTGAGCTAGTTATCTTCGGCACGGTATCTACTTGCTCGTGGGTGAGCTTACGGCAGAAGTGTACATGGCGACCATGGGGGGCTTCCCATCCTTTCCAAAGCCACTGGTATTGTTCACATCAACTACCGCACTTCCGCTGAAGTACATCTCGGTGACTTCGCCGCCATATCCCCGGGCAAGGAGGGCAATGGGCTTCTCTTCCCAGTGGGTGAGATCGTTACTGGTGGCATGGCCCCAGGACAGGTTCCCCCACTGGTTACCGCCGGGGTTATACTGGTAGAACAGATGGTATATCCCATTGTGATACAAGAGACCATTGGGGTCATTCATCCAATGCTCCTGGGGCGAGAAATGGTATTGGCCACGGTAGGGCTGATCGTAGTTGAGGGCGTTTGCCATGCTGGCAATGCCTGTTAAAAGACCCGCCGCAAGGGCCTTCGTGAGATGAACCATTGTGAAGGGATAAAAAAAAGTAGTTGTCGCTGTGGAAGAATATTATTTGTGACATAGCGGCACGACACGGCCTTATATATATGTGAGCAAGTCGCCCTGAATTCTCCGGCAATGGCCCAAGTGCACCAGGATATTCTACCAGCACATAATACCTTCCCCATTCATTCTCCATTTAGTGGATGTGCCCCATAGACGGTAGGCTTCAACAATAGATGGATTAGTAGCACCGATATCGAAGTACTGGCGAGTTTCTTCGGGGAAACTCAAACTCTTACCCCGCAAATCGGCCAACGGTAGCATGACATGCATGGGGCCAAATGAACTAGTAATTCGGGTGTTCTTGGGACTTCTTAGAACCATGTGGGTTCGTGTCTCGGGAAAAGGCACTACTCTAGGAAAATATCTAATTTTCGCGTTGGCTATCTATAGCAGACTAAGTACTCTACCCCAAGAATGGTTCGGCCACTCAAAGCGTTTGAGAAATACCGGGCGATAACTTTGTATATCGGTGTCTCCCCATGGGGTCAAAACGTCTAGGCATTTCTCGGCCCACATGATAACTCCATTGTCGCAAGGTGCCTGGTCCCTTTTGCTAGAACTGCTGCTAATTCGCCGAGCGTGGAGAAATTTCGGGCCATCTTCGGAAAGCATCTGGTCGATTCCCAAAAAACATTGCCGCCCCTCTTCAAGCAATCGAGCAAAACCCCGCATGGAAGTTGACAATGTACATTCGGTCGACTCCCAAAAAACCGTTGCATCTTACCATTCATCATGTTGCACAGTTACCATGCTATGCATCGCCTCTGCTTTCTGTGGCCCGCACTTATTACCCGCGTTTCAATTTATATTTATAACATTGACAGCCCATGCGGATCCTGCTTTTTATCTTGCGAGTGAGATGGTGTCTAGTCGGAGCAAAGCTAATTCGAGCTTCACTTTTCTGCCCAGCCCATCTCCAAAACACATTGGAATACCAGCGTACGTTGCTGACCCAGGGCAATGACGTCGCTCAATCTTACAGGCGGTGATCTGTGGGGCTAGGTGGAGATTCGGGACTGTCAATAAAATAAACTATAGCAGTGCCTACGCGCACCGACCGCCTTTTTGCCGGATGCCCTCAAGAATGCAAAGGGCCCAAATTAGACGCGACTGAGCGGTCTACCATGACTGCTCTGGTAGACCGCAAAGGCAAGCCCACTACCAGTTCGGAACACAACCAGTTTGGCGAAGCAGAGCGTTGAAGTCGGCACGTCAAAAGACGAGACATACAATCTGTTGTACCTAAGGGTGTTTTCAATTACCCTCAGTCAGGAAGATCTACATTCGTCCATAGACCCTTATTCAAGGTTTCTCGAAGATCCCCAGGCCCAGAGAAAAACAGAGATTAAGGTCAGCAAAGGGGATCCCGTGTACGACGTTGTTGCAAAGAATCCCGCGTTAGTTCATTCCACAGCAGCTCAATTTCATTCTCGCGGAGAGTGTCACTAAGTCCGGGAGAGGCAATGATACGTGATTCATTCTGTATCGCCAGAAGCCCCGGATTATCGCGGACCAGACAACCCTTCTCCATGGGGTGTCTCGGCACCCAATGCGCGATTAATATCACAGCGACGTTACTTTGCACGGGGAGGGGGCGAAGGGTTTAACTTCGTCATAATCTCGTACCTACTTCTTGGTCTACTTGCTTTACTTCTAGAAAGCCAGCTGAGTTCTCGGCTAACCGTGTTTAACCCACTTGTTTAGGCCCTTCTTCCGGTGCTCCGCGTGAGGAAGCTGGGCAAAGCGCCGATATTTCTCCGGGAGCTATTAGTGCCTAGACTTCGCCGTATTGCTTTTTAGGGAGCCCTACGGGTACCTACTGACCGGCCAGGAACCCTTGGGTCCACATAAAACAAAATGACGAACGTAATATAGACTGTAATTAATGTAATTATATGTAATACGGTATATATTACCTTGTATTCAAATAACTTGGCGGGTTCTGGGTCAGGGTCTCCCAACCCAACTTGCGGTTTTGGTGAGGTCTAGATTTCGCCACCCATCTCCCGCAAACGTTGCCGTGAAGCCGTTAAACCATGCTGTTCCCCTGTGTCCAGAGACTCGACACTTCTCCAGATTATTTTCCCCGCTCGGGGCTTGTGGGGAAGGCACTGACCTCGAGGGCTTGACTCCTTCCTCCCAAACCCCATTAGAATTTAAAATCACAGGAAAAGAATGAATAACTGCGAAAAGTGCCCCGCAATTTTTCCTTCTTATTCGCTCCCCCCACAGGCGTCGTCAATCTCTAGGAATATGACCAAGACCGTCCAGCATGATCGCACGTTCGAGTATCAACTTCAGCGCTTTCCCCGACGTCCATCCTAACCCTGTAAAGAGAACTGTTCATCGCCCTGTTGATGATCCCGCCGCCCTAGTTCTGGAGGCCTGGTCTCAGGGGCTGATGACGGGCTCCCTTGTAATCATGGCCGCTGTCACAATTGCAAACATGCGACCTGGCGTCTTACTGCATAAGTTGATCCTTTTAGAGGTACAGTAACCTTCCCCTGGGCAGCTGGCAGCACACTGCATAGCCCGCAGCTAAATTCACTGGGCTCCGATAGTTGATTCTGGCGACAGCCCATGGAACGTTTATCTTCGCCCCAGATCCAGTGTATGGATGGTATCTAGCCTCCACTGCGATCGGACTGGTCTTCTCCTGGTCTTTACACAATGTGATTGCATGGATGAAAAACAGACCCTTTATGAGCCGCGAGCTGTCACTCTTCTATATCGGTACCATTGTCCTGGCGCAACCATACTGGGCGACCGAGATCTACGCCAACTTCGCCTACTTCAACAATATCAATCTCACTGTGTACGAAAAGATTAGGCCCTGGGAGGCAATGTTTCGGTAGAGCGCCCTATACCTAATGACTTTGTTGATCTCTACCGTCGACTAACAATGTCTTGCGTCTAGTGATCCCTGGTGGATTTACACGACCTGTAATCTCTTCTGGGTGGTCAAAAAACACTATAACTTTGGAATCATTGGGCTAGTGCGCGAATGTCCCCGTTTCGGTTTGATGCTGGGATCAATGTGCCTCTCGATTGTCTTTATCGTTGCTGACATTCTCAGCGTGACTGGAGCTCTTTCGGCTGCCATGCCCCTTGGAATTAACCCCTTCTGGAAGGTAAGCTCGCCGACAGGCAACATTCAGACAACACTCCAAGCACAATGACCAACGAAAGAGTATTTTCTAGCTGTGTTTCATGTTCAAGTGCCTCTGTGACACTATTATCCTTGACGACTTCAAGACTGCGCTGGACAAGCTTAGTGCTCGATGGATGATGCGACAGGAAATGCAGGGAGTTCATTTTCTAGGTCAGTACCCTCTTCCAGGTTTCCTGGTCTTGTTGTGCACCTTGATTGGCCCCTCGTCTAACAAATAGGCACTCGCAGACTTTAGAAGCCACCAAACTTTTAGTGAGGAGCGTCCTTTGCCTAGCACTCGTGATAACCTGCCACTGAAACCCTCGGCCAGTGCGATACATATTGAGTGAGGGCACTGTAATACTGTTGGGACACCGGTTATTTATAAAGAGGCGATATTTAGAGCAAAGATTATAGTAATAGTATTGGCCACGGTAGGACTGGTCATAGCTGGAAGAATTTGCGATGCCCGCCAAAAGTCCCACCGCAAGGGCTATGGTGATATGAACTATAGTGTGGTGTATGAGGATTCCCTGTGGAAATATTAACACTGGAAATTCCAGGACGACACGACTATGTAACCATGTACATGAGCCCATCGCTTCGGGTCCTCCGGCACCGAATATTCTCCAAATTCCCCATTTCCCACGGGGACCACATCTGGAGAAAGTCGATGTTTCGCTCTTCATGCGTCGTAGGTCCTCAACAAGGTAAATCGGGCAAACGTGCACCTTCCCGACGCACGGAGTCCATCGCTCCGGGTCTTCTTCGGAGAAACTCAAACCGTAATCTCAAAATTGCCCAATGGCGGGCATGACACTTGAGAAGCCAAAAGAATTAATCTCAGAGTTCTGGGGGCTTAGGAGTTTCTTCGGACATTACACCTCTCGAGAAGGGGCTAGTTCTCGTCATCTACTCTGGAAAAGATACTTTGTAGATTCTCATGACATCTCTGTATAGGCATGTATCTCTCCACGGGGGTGAACATTTCGTCTTACCAGCCAAATAACTCAATTTTTTACTCCTTACTAGGTGCCTGATCGTTCCGATAATACTGCTAGATATTCGCCGAGTGCGGAAATATATTAGGCCAGCTTCGGGTGATCTTACTAGGCGTCAAAATCCCGCGTTTGTTAACATTCATCCTAGTAAAGTTAATGGTTTTCAGCCGCGAAATATACCTGAGTCATGCCGAATACCAGCAAGACTTCACCGAGCAACCCGATGCGCTTAGGGTCGTGTTGTGCATGGCATCACTCGGCGTATTCGATTCTTCCACACTTCCCGCAGAGTTAGTGCTTATGGCACCCCAGACGATTAGCTGACGTTGATTGGACCCCGCATCTCCGCATTTATGTACTTAGAAACCTTGGACGTATCCATGGATAGAAAGCCGGGGGGGGTTCGCCAGTTTTGTCTTAGCATGTTCTAGCTTTCACGTTCGGTTGCACTGAGCAGGAAGTGGCTGGTCCGGTGGCTGGTCCGACTTGGCTCGGGTGCCATTGCTGAAACCCTGTCTGGAAAATCCTCTTCGCTGCTCATACATTTGAAATGTTAGATGCTAGTCTATCGCTCTCTCAGCCATGCAGTATAAGATGCAGATTGGCCTCCCCTCGAGACACCTTTTTTATCCTGATTCATCTACTTTGTGTTCCACGGCTGTCCAATTTACTCTACTCTTCCACTAGGCCCCATGGGTATTTTACTTAAGAATCCTGAGGGTACGGCTGGCGCATCATGGCCAGCAATTGCCATCTCGGCCTTCGTCGCCTTTGGTGGTGTTTTGTTTGGGTAAGCTTCTCAAACTACCACAGTTAATGATTGCATCTGACTTGTCTCTTCACAAAGTTATGATACAGGGACTATCAGTGGTATTCTTGCCATGCCCTACTGGCAAGAACATTTCTCCACAGGCCATCGGGATGCTAGTGGTAATCTCAATATTACCTCTAGCCAGTCTTCTGCCATCGTCTCCATTCTCTCGGCCGGAACATTTTTTGGTGCTCTTGGTGCAGCTCCTCTGGGAGACTCTATCGGTCGTCGATGGGGTCTGATTGCTTCTAGCTGGGTTTTCATCTTCGGCGTCATATTACAGACAGTTGCCACTGCAATTCCGTTGTTTCTCGCAGGTAGATTCTTTGCTGGCTTTGGTGTGGGCTTGGTTTCGGCATTGAGTATGTTTACGCCTTCTCTCGTGCTGATTTTCACTGACTGGTATTATCATTATAGTTCCTCTATACCAGTCCGAGACCGCACCAAAGTGGATTCGTGGATTTATTGTCGGCTCCTACCAGCTGGCCATTACCATTGGTCTACTGTTGGCTTCCGTGGTCAACAATTCGACTCACAGCCGGAATGATACCGGCTCCTACCGTATCCCGATTGCAGTCCAGTTTGCTTGGGCTATCGTCTTGATTATCGGAATGCTGATTCTGCCCGAGACTCCCCGCTACCTAATTAAAAAGGACAACTTTGAAAGAGCCGCTCAGAATCTTGCGAAACTCCGCCGTCTCCCTGGAGATCATCCCGCAGTCAGAGAGGAGCTTGCTGAGATTCAAGCCAACCATGAATACGAGATGAGACTAGGGCAGCCTAGCTATCTCGAATGTTTCAAAGGCAATCTTGGAAAGCGGTTGCTCACCGGTTGCGGTCTTCAAGCCCTGCAGCAACTGACTGGCATTAATTTCATCTTCTACTACGGCACGCAGTTCTTCAAGAACTCCGGATTCCAGAACGAGTTCGTTATCAGCTTGATTACCAACTGTGTTAACGTGGCTTCAACTGTCCCTGGTCTCTACGCTATTGATAAATGGGGCCGCCGACCCGTCTTGCTATTAGGTGCCATCGGCATGTGTGTTTCGCAGCTTCTCGTCGCCGTACTAGGAACAACGACCACCACTCAGGATGCCGCTGGTAAAATTATTGTGCTCAACAAAGCGGCACAGAATGCCGCGATCGCCTTCATCTGTATATTTATTTTCTTCTTTGCTGCATCATGGGGACCTATTGCTTGGTAGGCAAGTACTAGCCCTTTTGCTACAAACAAAAATTAATCTAATGATATAGGGTTGTTACTGGCGAAATCTTCCCTTTGAAGGTTCGAGCCAGATCACTTTCCATAACCACCGCCACTAATTGGTTATTTAACTGGGCTATCGCCTACTCTACCCCGTACCTGGTGAATTACGGTACCGGTAATGCAAATCTGCAGTCAAAGATTTTCTTCATTTGGTTCGGATGCTGCTTTCTCTGTATTGGTTTCGTTTACTTCATGATCTACGAGACCAAGGGACTTACCCTAGAGCAAGTGGATGAGCTGTACTCTGAAGTTAGCAGTGCGCGCAAATCCGTTGGCTGGAAACCGACTGTGACCTTCATGGAGATTGTTGAACAAAAGGGGTCGGTCAGTCATGACCATGATGAGCGTACGGAAGAGACAAGTTAAGCTATGTGGATTTGAATTGTCGAATGGAGACAGCGAATAAATTTATTTGGCCTTAAAGAATATCGGAAATTAACAACACATGAGAAGCAATCTCGAGGGATCCAAGGAATAGGTAACGCAGTATCTGATGAATGCATTTGCCCGGTATATCTCGTTTTAAAGACTATTCGCTAAATATAACTCGAATGTCCGAGATTCGAAGAACTACAGGGGGAGATGCTCGACGATCTATAGGGTAGAGAAGTATCAGCGAACCTCGGGGAAGATGATTTATAATATCCGCGATTCCGTTCGTAGCAGATTCCATATTAAAAACGGGGCTCCTAGAACAGGTTCAGTCAGTGGACTCTATCGCTACGGGTTTAGAACAACAGGAAGATTCAACTGCGAACGTCGCCGGGGATGAAGACGGTCCGTAAGTAAGGACAATGGCAAACGATCAACCAGTACTACAGAACACAGAGAGGTCGGGAGACCGAGGGTACATTTCATAGGTGACGGCCGCCGGGTCTGCGCCGCCCCCCTCACCTCCAGTATCATGACACTTATAAGCGGCTAGACCCGCAGACGATATCGACAACGACAGTGATAAATATTCACCGTGGTACGTAGGTGCGACACCCAGACATGTTCAATGCGCTCAGTATGAATAATATCGTGGCCCAGGTGAACAAGAGATATACGAAAGGAGGAGGACGAGATACGCCGCACGGGAGAGATACGACGCATCGAACCGAAGCTCTTCAACATGGCCACCCTCGCTGCTTTCTTTGAAAACACCACAATAACTTCACAGGAGCGGGACCTTCTCACTGAGCTTATGGGCGAACGTGAAAGCCATTCTGATGATACCCTCCACTTGCCAAAAGTATCCGATGAAGCTTCACGGAAAACCACAGAAACCTCTCCTGGGAGACATCATCCAGGGCCCACAACGAGCGCAAAAGCAATCCATATTCCAAACTGCTGGACTTTCGAAGATTTTGAACACCTGGAGGAGGCATTTCGTATTGTGGCAACAGATATAGGTAAGTAAACCTGACGGAATGTGTGCATTTGGCTGACCGTTCACCTACAGTAGCTCAACCTGGTTTTGAAGATATCATGACCCCGTCCGCGGGGAGTGATAGAAGCAAGCGCGGGTAGTAAAGACATATGAAAGGAAAGCAGATTTACATCTCGGTCTAGAAAATCTCGTTTGATAGCATCTAGATACATGATCACGCTTAAATGAATCCGGCAGTCTACTTTCTTTCGCACTGGTTGTAGGTACATACAATAATCTTTATGTCTGAATCTGTCAGCGCACGCATAGGTGCACCGGGAATCGCAATGGGAATGACTGTATCATAACTAATAGCAATTTAGAAAAAATACTTGGAATTGAAAAGCTGCACTACATGGATTATAAAGTCCAGAGCGTGGCGAAAATGAACTCCACAGGGTTTAGTTAATCTAAGCGCCATGCTATATTAATCATCTCCCTAGCCGAAGTACCATTCATCCCGAAAACCTCCTTGAGCCTCTGACTGGTCTTCCAATTCAACAGATCTGCTGGGATGCATGACACAACAAAAACTATGTGTCGGTTGACTTGGTCATTGCCCTAAGCAGATATCCTATCGATTCAACTGAATGTAGGTATATGCTCGGGAAAACAACAACTTCGACGCGAACAAAATTTTTAAAAATTACTCAACCACCACAAAGGCTACGGCCTCTAGAATCAGCCAGTTTACTATCAACCCCAGCCGCTATCGATTGAACCTAACTTTATAGGGGATATCGATATGGTTGGGGCGAAACCCTCGTGGCCGGCCCTTTCAGGGATTCCCGAGGCGGTAAACACGCACAATCAGAATTTTCTTCACTGCGTTTTGAACCTCAACAAAGATGCGCAGCAATACCTCTTATACAACGAATCGAATGGAAAACAGCTTCCTAGACCGGTAGTCGGCTTTATACAGCAAGTAGCCGACGCCTGCGAATTTTTGCAACGCGAAACTGTAGATATTCTGGTCGCCAACTGCCGTATCGGCCCTGAGCTGGCCAATATCCGGCAGACCCTCCAGACCATCCAAGAACAGAGTTATTACACTCAATCAAATATACAGAAACAGAATTGCCAGTCTTGGGCCTCCGTGGTCCGCAACGCGCCTCCCCCGGTCCATACGATCTCTTCTCACGGCTCCTCCAGCACCGTCCCGGCCATTCCGTCGGAGCTCAGCAAGGACCGCGAGATTATCGTTAAGCTACGGGATGCTGGTGCAGTGCGCACCTACCGACGTCTTACGGCCTCGGATATCAAGCAGAGAGCGGAAATAGCAAGACAGAAAACGTGCGGCCAAATAGGGGCCCTCTCTCTGGCCAAGGCGCGTTTTGTAGCTGCTAGACAGCTTAAATCCGGCGATCTGAGCCTTTCACTCCGCTACGCCGCTGAGGCCGAAGCTGCCAGGACCTATGATCAATGGGTCAACCACCTGAGCGCGGGAGCCATACTGCGGCGTCCCTCTTGGGGTATCGTTGTACATGGGATCGCACTTAAGTCAATTGGAGATCTCACTACTGATACGGAACAACAACGGGTGGCTAACGAGCTACTCGAGGAAAACAGAGATTGCTGAGTCAATAAGGAGGTTCAGCAGAGCCCCCAAATTACGCGTATCGCGTGGCTCACTCATCCGTCCAACCATAAGAATCAGAGATCGTCCGCCCTGATCGTGGAATTCTTAGACCCCCGTCACGCCAACGAGGCAATCGCACGAGGCACCATTTGGGACAGCGTTATCCATAAGACAGTGTTGTATGACCGAACTGCTCGTATCCGACGGTGTTTTAACTGCCAACAATATGGTCACATAGGAATTGTCTGTTCGAATAAAACAACTTGCGGGCTCTGTGGGGGCAGCCACGAGACCCGGAACTGCTCCCACAAGTCTACTAGTAGCCAGGAGCGCCGCTGTGCAGGGTGTGGAGAAGCACACGCTGCCTGGCACAAAGGGTGTTCGAGGTATGCAGCAGAGATGGACCGGGTTCAAGCTACAGCAGTGCACCGGCAAGCCTGGCACCGGGTCCCTCCCTATCTGCAGGACTTTCAGTTCTCCGTACGTAGCGGTACGGAGGCCTCCAGCTCGTCCAACAGCGAGGGACGCAGCCAGCCGCACACGAGCCTCTCAGAGAGGCGTACAAGGTCCGTTAGTAGACCTGCAAGCGTTCGTAATCGCTCAACAGTCCGATTTCAACCGGGGTCTACGCCGCCACACGCCGGCTCGCAGGAAATGATTCCTACAGCTAGTGAACTCTCCTCAGATAGAATGGATTTTGCTGCGGACGGAGTGGATGCGCCCCCGCAGCCTGACCGGGAGGAAGCCGGTCAACAGAGTGAGCCGGAGATGCCTGCTCCAGTGACCCCGATACCTAGGGGTCGCCGTGGACGAAGGAGTGGCCTGCAGAGCGTTACCTCGTCTGAAGGAACGCGCCGGAGTGCCCGTACCCAGTCCGTAATACGGCAGGAAGCCTCACACCTGGCTATTATACCAGTTGACTCACCAACCGGAGATACACCGCCCACAAAACGATCCCGCAGTAGAGTAGCATACCGAGAACGATCGACTTCGGCCAGCGAGACCCCTACTGTCTCTCTCCCGAAGACCCCGGTACCAACAACTGCACCTACCACGGCTCCTATCACGAGGACCCGCTCAGTATCACGGAAACGCACTAGGGCTGACCGATTATGATCAAACCCCTTCACATCCTCCAATATAATACGAATCGATCTAAAGACAAGGTGATGGCACAGTTCCTCCGGGACCCTGCAGTTCTAGAGGCGGACCTCATCTTTGTGCAAGAACCTTGGGAGAACCCCTACCAGGATACCACCCACCATCCTGCTAACGGCTCCCACCAGCTCCTATACCCGGATTCGACCGAGATAGGGGACGAGCGGGCCCGCGTGTGCCTCTATATATCACGCCAAATCGATCCTGGAACCTGGAAACATACAGCGCATTCGAAGGACGTCCAGGAGCTCGAGCTCACTGATGCTGACGGCCAACAAGTGCGCATCTTCAATATTTATAATCGACCTAACGAAGTAGATGGCACTACTCTCGACCTCGTTACCTCCCTAACTATCCCTACCGGCCCTACTAACAGTTCTACTAACCCCCGTTTGCTCCTGCTGGGCGACTTCAACCTCCACCACCTAGCGTGGGGGGGAGAACGCTCTGAGAGAGACCCATCGTCTGACCAGTTGCTGGAACTGACGGATACGAGGTGCCTGGACCTCTGGCTAGAGTCAGGCACTACCACGTGGGAGCGCAACGGAAGCAAGACCACTATCGATCTGGTCCTCGGCTCGCAGGACCTGACCCCCAGGCTCGTTGCCTGCGAGGTCAACGAGCGAGTCCACGCAGACTCGGACCACTATCCAATACGAACCCTCCTTGATATCAGCACTAAAACCCCCGAGGCACAGCGACGAAAGAACTGGAAAGCCTGCAGTGTCAAAGACCTGCAAAGCTTCGTGGACCTCAACCTACAGAGCAAGGCCTTTCCCTTACAAACAAAGCAGCATATTGAGCTCGCTATGGAATACCTTATCGAGACGATCAACCAAGGAATCGCCACCTCCACTCCGTGGGCGAAGCCCAGCAAGTGGGCGAACCCTTCATTCAATGCGGAATGCCGCGAAATGGTCAAGATCACCCGGAAATTCCGGCGTGAATACACGGAATCAGTTATTGCGAACGGGCCTACCGACCCCACTACAGGCCTCCGGTGGGAGCGCTATACCAAAGTCAGGAACCGCAAAGGAAAAGTATTGGCTAAGGCACTACGCCAGGGCCACCGTTCCTGGGTCCGCAAGGCTACCGAATCAGGCCCCCGAGGCATGTGGAAGGCGGCTAAGTGGGCGAGAAGTAGGGAGGCCCGCGGAGGCCTTATACCTACGCTGAAAACAGATGGCGGGCTCGCAGAGACCGCAGAACAGAAGGTAAAGACATTTCGCAAAGCCTTCTTTCCCGAACCACCTCCGGCCGACCTCTCTGATATCCCTACGGCTCGGATACCCCCCCAGATCGACTTCCCGGACCTTACCGAGCACGAGGTGCTCCGTTGCATCAGACGGGCGCCTCCCGATAAAGCACCAGGGCCGGATGGCATCCCTAACAAGGTCTGGCACTGGCTGGGTGAGGTCTCCTCTTTCCTCGCTGTACTAACGCAGATATTTAACGCATGCCTACGTCTTGGGCACAATCCGGAATACTTTCAGCAATCGACTACTGTAGTGCTGCGTAAATCAGCTCCCCGGGACTATCGCCTCGCCAAATCCTACCGACCTATAGCGCTCCTGAATACCCTCGGTAAGATCCTGGAGGCCGT